GTGGGAACCACACATGCAAGCCACACGTGTCATTTTACATTTTAAAAATGCTAACTTAGCCCTGGCCGGTTTGGCTCCTTGAGACAGAGCGCCGGCCTGGGGACTGAAGGGTCCCGGGTTTGATTCCAGTCAAGGCCATGTACCTCGGTGGCAGGCTCCTGGCCCTGGCCCGGGGTATGGGGGAGTCAGCCAATCGATGTGTCTCTCTCACATTGATGTTTCTCGCTGTCTCTCCCTCTCCCTTCCACTCTCTCTAAAAATCAATGGGGAAAAAATCCGCGGGTGAGAATTAAAAAAAAAAGCTAATTTAGTCATATTTGTAAAAAGTAACAATGAGGTGAACTTCATTTTAATCCTTTAAGCCAATCTGGCCAAAATAGCATTCCCATGTGTGATCCGTGTAAATAATGCGAAGGTGATAGGTGACGCTTTTGGTCTAACTCTGAGATCCGGTGTCTATTTTTCTTTTTCTTTTTTTTTTTTAAAATATATATTTATTGATTTAAGAGAGGAAAGGAGAGGGAGAGAGAGATAGAGACATCAATGATGAGAGAGAATCATTGATTGGCTGCCTCCTGCACGCCTCCCAACCGGGGATCGAGCCACAACCCAGGCACGTGCCCTTGACTGGAATCGAACCTGGGACCTTTCAGTCCACAGGCTGATGCTCTATCCACTGAGCCAAACCAGCCAGGGCCGGTGTCTATTTTTCGCTTAGAGCACACCTTGGTGTGGTCCCTCACGTGGCAGGGCCACCGCATGGCAGGGACCACCGTGCGCACCCCTCTCAGGACAGGCCAGAGGAGGGAGTGGACCGGCCACACTGTGGGGAGCTGGGTTCAAGCCCCCAGCCCCAGGAGCGCCTTCATCTTTCAGTCCTTGGGGCCAAACGTGTCGGCTGCTGGGTGTGAGGTCCCAGGAGAGTAACAGGCAGGAGCCCCTGCCTAGCAACCCGGGGCAGGTCCCAGCCACACAGGTTTGTCCTTTATTTACCCTGGGCACGGCCCGGACCCTTTGCCTCCCCGCCCTGCCACACCGCCCGGCTTCCTCACCCAGAGAAAGGAATTCGAAGCGTCCGCCCCTCCCTCGCAGACACCAGAAGTATGATGTGCGAGTGGCTCCCTGCGGAATCTTGTGACGGGCAGCTGACAGACTGGGTGATACCGTGTTTCCGTGCGGGAGGCCGCAGTGCTGGGCTGTTTGGGGTGCCGAGCGGGGAGGGAGGAGCCGGTGGCCCCCGAGGTGGGGGACAGAGAGCCTTGTGACGCTGCGGTGGGAAGCCCGTCCTCCCTTTCCCTCCGCACTTGGGTGTCTGGAGAGACGCCCCATCTGCTCACTGTGGGCCTCGGGGCAGTTGGTCAGTTACTCTGCCCTCTGCTGCCTGGAATGAGCCTGGGGCCGAAGAAGCCCAGCGCCCTCCCGGGCACCCTGTGACCACGTTGCGCTGGTCAGTGGAGGGGAGAGGATGCAGGCTGCGGGCTGTGACCAGCCAGGGCTGGACCTGCCACAGCCTCTTCCCCTCTTGCTCCGATAGATCCACCGGTTAATTCGACAGATCTGTCCTGAGAGGCTGCTGTGTGCCAGGCACTGCTCCAGACACGGGTGATGGGGCAGCACACACAACAACGGGAAGAATCTTTTCCAAGCAGGGAGGGGGTCTGAGCTATTGGGGATGTGCTGGGACGTGGAGGTGAGTAAGAGCTGAGTGTCCAGGGAGTAGCATGGCTGGGCTGAGCCCATGACAATGCAGAGGCCTCGCCCAGTCAGGAAAAGGGTGGGGCCAGGGTGACTC